ATGCCGGGCACAGTCCACAGTGAACGTTATGATACTAAATCCAACATTCAAATATCTAAGAAATCTGGAAGCTTCAGCGTTCCTGAAGATGGTGAAAGTGTCATCAACTAACCTTTCATATTAAAGATATCTAAATTGTTATAGGCAATTTTCTAGCCATTATCGTCCATGAAAACAAAGAAATAACTTGACTAAAGATGGCGCCAGTCTCGAGCCCTGATCATACAGCTTTGCATAAAAAAAATTCAGTTCTTTATTAGCAAAGTTAATGAGGTTCGAATACAGATTTTGAAATAGTCTTATTGTTGAAATTGTCGTTAGAAAGCAGACGAACACTTAACTTCACGATTTCTTCTAAATGTATATTTGTATTTAACGATTCGACATCAAAACTGACACAATGAGAATTTTACAAACATCAACAGTTGTATTTCACGAGAAATATCAAAATGGTCATTTAAAGTGTGCCCAATAGTGGTCAGATTCTTCAGAAATACAACTAAGAAACCGGCCAAAGCATGATTGCAGGTTCCAATGTTAAAACTTTTGGCCACAAAGGACATCCTTGTTTTTTTTTACAAAATATTTTAGACAAACCATAACAATTTCCTGGACGATTTACTGATGGTCTAATGTTCAGCTATAGATTTCCATGAAGAATTTCACACTTCTTCATGATGGTCTAATGTTCAGCTATAGATTTCCATGAAGAATTTCACACTTCTTCATGATGGTCTAATGTTCAGCTATAGATTTCCATGAAGAATTTCACACTTCTTCAACTCCAGTAGCTTCCATTCATCAGTGGGATCATAATGAAGTTTGATAAATCTAGTAGAATCACTCACAGTTTCTTTAACTAATTATCTTTATCTAAAATTATTATTTCTTTTGTCTAATTTGAAACTAACAATACCATCATTTTAATTTCAGTTCTTAAAAGGTTTAAGCTCTCCTCAACTTAAATTAAGAAGAATTATATTCTGTATTGTAATTATTAAAAGACGTCAACGCTATATTACTTATCCTGCGTTCGATACCCCACGCTTGATAAATAGCCCGATGTGGCTTTCCTTTGAAAAAGAAACAAATGAGCTATACTACTGATCCGAGTTTCAAAATTATTCAAATATTTCTTGGTTTTAGTACAAAGAAACATTGGGCTATCTGCTCTGTCCACCGCGGAGAATCGTTGTAAGTATGTAAGCATATCGCTGTCCCACCGGGCAACATTACTGAACGATTGACCTCCAGATGGGTTGACATGACAAAATCTGTTCAAATTGATCCTCAAACTTAAGCCTATTAGAGATATTACATTTTAAACCATAAACTAAAACATTTCAACGACGTCACTCAAAACAGATTTTGAAATCACTGAATATAACTTTATCAGGTTCTTCTATAAATAAACTGTTTAACTTAACCAACTGTTTATCTCTAGCCTTTAAGAGAATTTTATTGTTCTGTGATTTGATAAAGTGTTTAAAATGTACGAACTCCAAATCCCAAGCTTGGTTTTCTAATAACTTAAATGCCTCAACTGTTAACGATTTCAATAACCGATACTTTTTGTATAATTTCAAAATTAGATAATCCAGTTTGAATTCTATGATACTGTATAGAGTGGTAAAACTGAGGAACAAAAAAGTTTAAAATTGAGGAGACGGAATTGTCTAGAGTGGTAAAACTGAGGAACCAAAAAGTTTAAAATTGAGGAGACGGAATTGTCTAGAGTGGTAAAACTGAGGAACAAAAAAGTTTAAAATTGAGGAGCCGGAAATGTCTAGAGTGGTAAAACTGAGGAACAAAAAAGTTTAAAATTGAGGAAACAAGGGAGAACTTTTAAAGGTTGTATTCATTCAGAAAATATAACTATAATTTATTTTTATAAAACTTTAGATGTACTATTTCAGAATTTCTAAAAACGTTATTACTGATTTACGATATCTTTGATGATGTCAGCAGCCGATTTCTTTTTTGGGAATCTCAAAAATAATATAAACTTAAAGACTAAATGAATTATGTAAATTTTAACTTCAAATGCTCGATATTTTTTTCTAACTGTTTTTAAATGCCATTTCTTACCCAGTAACGCTTGGAGGAGGTGGTACAAAATTCAAAGGGCTGATAATCCAGGCGAGGTTAAGCAAAGACACGAGTGAAATCCTGAAAGGAAAATTCTCAACGACGAGTGGAGTAAAAACGATGAATTGTGGAGGAGGTTCAAAGGTACTAGGAGTTGTTCTAAAGCCTAAACAATGGTACTACAAGTTGTTCTAAAGTGTAAACAATGGTACTAGAAGTTATTCTAAAGTCTAAACAATGGTACTAGGAGTTGTTCTAAAGTCTAAACAATGGTACTAGAAGTTATTCTAAAG